CTCTAAATGCTCTTCCATCAGCGTGCTGAAAATCCTGCAGCATCAACCCATGCTGCGTGCATCTTATCTTACAAGGAAACAATTTAAAGTCAGTGCAAAATCATGAGCTTTTTTTTTTTTTTAACAACAATTCTCGATTACAACGGAATGAATATTTAATAAAGAAGCTTCATAAATGAAAACATTTCCACGATTTTTACAATGTAAAGTATAACCACAATATTATTGATCATTATTATGAGCAACTAATAGCCCCTTTATTGAGTTTTCACACATTTCAGATTTGAAGCTTTTACATTTGTGTTTTAAATAATTTGATTAATCCATTCATGCTACACATTTTACAGTTCTCTTGTTAAGGCAAAAATTTTCCCTTGTAAATCCATCTGAGGGGAAAACTTTTTGAAAAGTACACCATATACTATCTTAGAGTCTAGTACAGAGCAAACCAAATAATGGATAAAGGACAGAAAAGCAAGTTACAATTCACAACCAATTTTTGGCACATAAGCCATTTACTCACATGGTTAAAGTAAGTCTTCTAAGAAAGTAAGGTACCATTTAGTAACCCACTACCAATTCCAGTGAGCAATGCTCTACAAAAGCTCACTAAATACATGAACAGGTACTATCAGAGTAAATGCTTCCCCACCATATCAAAGTTACATACTTTAGGCAACATTTTTAAAAATCAGAAAAAGATAAGGTCTGAAAAGTTCATAATCTAAAAACCAAAATACATATAAAATTATTAAAGCTTTTAATTACTTGAGTTCTCACCAATATTTTAACCAAAACTGCAGTTTATGCTCTCAATTTTCATATGTCATTACACAAAAAGGTCGCTTTTCCATCCTAAAGCTGCAGTTACATATAAGCACTTTANCATTTAAATACGCCAAATAGCTGAAAAGTATCAACAACAAAAAATCCATCAACCTAAAAAAATCAACTGAGTAGTTTCAATTCCTCTGCTAAAATTTGAAAAGACTTGTAAGGAATGATGTTCATGCTATATGAGTATCAAAATTATAAGAAAAACATAAGACAAGGAATTAACAACCCCTAGTATACACAAAGCATAATACAATACGTCTCTGTGCTTAACAAACAGTGGTCTTTTTAAACGTATCTTGGCTCCAAAAGTATCAATAATCCCTTTCCTCCAACATCCTATTGCTAAGATACAATACTCCTTTCTTCCATTATTAAGCAGTTATTTCCCGTTTCTTAGGTCATTCTCACAGAATCTGTGCTTCGAAATGTTTCAGGGTCCACACTATCAGGATGTGCAACATCCATCCACAGTCAGAAAAAGCCAAACTATTTTTTTGTGGGTGGGCGGGGGTTCTCAACATTCACTCTATGCCAATTAACTAATGCCATGTTGCAATCATTTGTCAAATGCGCTAACCTACAAGACCACTTTAAACTTTACATTTCTGTAATTCTAAATACTAAGTATATATGACTATTAGGTCAATATCCATCAGTAAGTGACCGATTAAAAAAAAATTATCGCTGAGTATATAAAAGCATGAAACGATAAAGTCACTTTAAACAAAGCAGGCTGACCTTCCTTTTTTTCCCCTCATACTAAACTTACCATGAAAGAAATCTGGACAGAGGTATATTACTAGTAACTCACTTATAGCTATAATTAATTTAGAGGAAGGAATTCATTGGCATTTTGAATTTATCTTAGAATTTAATCTGAACTATAATAATAATACAAGCTAACAACCACCTATCAGTTACCATGTGCCAAATATTGTTCTAGGCACTTAAAACATAAAAATTCATTTAATCTCTGCAATAATCCTACTATGAGATGGGTAACATCATTATGCCCACTTACAAAGAAGAAACTAAGGCACAGAAAGATTAAATGACTTGTTCAGGTTGTACAGCCACTAAATGGGAGAGTCAGGAGTTGAACCCAGGCAGCCTGGATCCAGAGTCTATGTTCTTAACAAGGCCGTTCTCTTTAGAAAGCCCTTGGACACTTGCAAATTTATAGGTATAATAAAATATTTTGCAAAAGACACTTAGAAGTATATCAAAGGTTAATACATTAAAATAATAACATACTGTGTAGCTCTTACAATAAAAAGTTATCCCCACACGAGGAAGTTAACTATATCCATGGCTGGCTTATTTCTATTATTCCTAAAACATGAGTTTTCACAGTTAAAAAATTGACAATTACCCACTATTTCTTCAAATTACTAAGAGTTATATCACATAAGATATAAATGGTCATGAAATGGTCATAAAAAGCTAACTTGAAATAAATGCTACTGTTTAAATTTTAAATCAAAATAGTAAGATCAAATATTTAAAGAATGCTACTATATATTAAATTTAAAGAAGAAGAATTCTGTATTTCAAGGAGCGACTCTGAAAGTATTTTTTGACTACCTACCTCTCCATGATTGAAAAAGAAGCACAACACTGTAACCAGGCCTCCTAATCGGCTGCCGCTGGAAAAGAGGATAAGAAAATGTAACTCAAATAACAGGAATTCAGGCTAATCCTAATAAAATCTTAAAATGATATGACAACTTTCCAGTACTACAAAAGGTTTTAGCCACTCTATAACTCTCCTATGCTTATTTACAAAATAGCTTATTTCCTCAAAGTATCATTAGTCAAAGTAGGTTTCATTTTTAAAAAATCATTTGCTATCTCCAAAATCTACAGGCTCAGAAAAGCAAACAACTGAAAGGGAATAAAATATTCTTAATAGTCATGTTACTGTGCATCATGCAACTTGATTTTTTTTTCTTTATTTTTTTCTTTAGTACCACATATTTCTTGTGTCCTTTAGCATTTCTCAAACTATTTTCCTTGGGACACACGGTGTATGTTGAAGAAGTGCACGAAAGGGCTCCATGGTCATAAAGTTGGAAAATACCATACTGTCTACCTGCTCTTGGAAATTCACAAAGCACTTCAGCACATTGAAGAATTAATTAAATTCAGCATTTCCCAAACCCCATCCCCAAGCTACTTTTCTACAGAACACACTTGGGTAACACTAGTTCACAGATAAAGTTTTATCTTTCATTTGTTCTCAGAAAACTGAAATAGAATACAAACATCAAAGTATGACCATCAGGCTTATTAACTCTAGCTAAGAAATCACAACGGTACGGTCTGGCAGTTCTAACAACTACACCTCCATTTACTCAGGCAAGAGGGAAGGATGTTTCCTCCTTTCCTCCAAGTTTGGGTAGCAGAAGGTAAGGCTGTTTTAGGTTTGTTCCATCATTTCTTTCATCTTTACTCATAAAGCCTTCTTACTCTCTTTAGCTTTCTCAGAATTCTACCCAAATATCCTTCCTTTCTATGCATCTACAAGTATGTGCATGACAGAGGGGTCAGAGAGGTGACAAAGAACCAGACAGCGTAGGTACTGCAGGCCGTTCACTGTATTTACTCTTGGGGATGTACAGAAGGAAAAGGGGAGGAGACAGAAAGCAGGGATAGTCTCTGCAGCGAGCACCTCTCCTCCCGGTACTTCTCCCAGAAGGAGACCAGTAGAGCTGGAGTCCCTAGCACAGGTGGCTGGTCAGCCTTAGCAAAAGAGGAAGATGGCACGTTTAGGGGCAAGTAGTTTGTGGAGCTTCAGTCTTCCCTACAGAGCAGGAGGCACAGCCACTTGCTGCTGAAGAGGAGAGGTGGCAGCACCTTGAAAGGTCTGAGGGAAGAGCAGGATGTCTGAAGTACCACTTGCCTTTAAGGAAAGAGGTAACTAGGGAAAACAGAAGAGATGCTGAACCATCTTTAAGGGGGCAACTGAGGCTGGGGACCACAAATTTATAAGGTTACTAATTGTAGGACTGTGTGATTTCTCCCCACATTTTATCTGCCTAGACTGGCACAAACGAAATATAAAAGGGCAAAGAAACTGAGGATATTGGCCAGAAAGTGGCTGAAGTGATGGATCACAGAAATAAAAGGAAGAGATAAAGGAGCTAGAAAGTAGAACAGGCCGGGAAGCGGGAGCAGGGTCCTCTCCTCAGAGCGTACCACATCGTCTTCAACAGCAAAGCAAACAGGCTAACCCGAGGCTTCATCACAACTGATGAGACACTAGAAGGGCTGAGACAGAGCTAAGGGTTTACATGAATAAATAACTTTTAATATTTTAATGAGACAAAAAGTATAGGATTCTCTGTTAAAAAATAATAATTTCTTCCTTGTCATCTGCCCCCAATCGTATTCTCCCAAGATAATCGAAAACATTTGCCTTTGTCCGTCTTTCCAAATCTTTCTCTATAACCACATAATGTTCTTTATGTGATCATACTATGAACATCCCTTTAAAATGTGTTACTTTTCTAATTAATCTATCGTGAAGACTGTTCCTAATCAATACATGTAACCTAAGGCATTCTTTTTATAGATGTCAAATATTGCATAGTACAAATGTACTACAAACAAGGTCAAAATAAACGTCCTTGTACCTGTAAATGCTGGTGCTTTTATTCCCATAGGACAGATCTAACTGTGAGACGCCCAAGTGGAAGAACGTGCACCCTGCCAGGGGCACAGTACCTGCCCCACCCCACCAGTGTATGAGGGGGTCCATTCTTCCTGTCACTTACAGTGGCATTGGATGTGCTCATTCCTTCTACATTCTGCCCTTGGGTATGTGAAATCTTTTTTCTCACCATTATTTTGATCTGTACTTCTCCGTACTTGTATGGAACACTGTGTGAGTGTTTTGTTTTGTTTTTGACAATATGCATTTCTTTTCTGTGAAGCGCCTGTTCACATTCTTGTCCATTTTTCTATTAGATTGTCTGTTTCCCTATTTAAAAATTAGGGTTATTGAATATTTGGCTGTCCTAAGTACAACAAGGTATTTTGATATAAATCATGGTGTACTCTGCCAGAAAGAATTTTTTTAATTTTGTATAGTTAAGTAAGTCAATATTTTCCCTTATTTCTTCTGCACTTCCCGTCTTATTCTGTGAAGGTATTCCCCACCTCAAAAATACAGATTTCTAAAATTTCCTTTATTTTGTTCTCTTGGAAATAGCCAATTATGCTAATACCACTTATCAAATAAACATTCCTTTATTAGTGAAATGAAATTCAGCCTTTATCATACATTAATTTCTTACAATGCTAATCTGTTCTATTCCAGTCAACTGATTTAATGCCTTTTTTTTTTTTTTTTTTTTTTTTGCATCACAATATCTTTATTACTATACTATTATGGTAATTTTAACACAAGGAAAGAAAAGCTCCCACCCCCAAGTACTCTTTTTTTTTTTAAGGTGATTTTCACCAACTTATTCTCACACGTAATTTTGTTTTAATCAGGCACCCCTCCAAAAAAAAAAAAAAAAAACTGTTGGGTTTCTGATCATAATGGTGTTAAATTTACATATAATTTGGGAAGGATCATCATTTGTATTATGATAATCCTGTCCATTCAGTGGTATAGTGTGTCTCCATTTTTCAATTCTAATTGTATTTCTTTAAACAAAAATTTTATGGACAAGCAATATAGCAGTTAAGTACCTAAAGCTAAAACTTATAGAAATACCAAGAGTATATGATAAAATCTGATCATAGTGGGAGTATTTTAACACTTTCAAAATTTGACAGGTCATATAAGCCAAAGAATTTGAAGAAGATAATCAACAAGCTCAACTTTGTGAATATATATATATATATATATATATATATATATTGACCACACAAAGAATATACATTATTATCTTAGATCCCTGGAGTACCTAGCTGCAAAGACACCTCACTCCAATTGTAGTCCAAAACAACCTAAAACACAAGAAAGATGAAGAAAACACCTTGGGAATTTAATGTAAAATTCCCTTTTAAAACTTCCCTGGAACAAAGAGAACCAATACTGAAATTTTACAACTTTAATTTTTTTCAATGGCAAAGTAAAGGCAGAGAGAGAACAGAAGAGCCACAAATCCAATTTCCTGACCAAATCTTGGGTGAAGTTTGCCTAAGAAGTCTTACACCCTCACTCAGTTGCCATACAACCTGTGGGGCACTGAGGCTGGACCCTGCTCTTTCCTGAAGACAGAGTAGTGTGACAACACTTGCTTTTCACCAAAGTACCAAAACACAGGTGATGGTATCTTCCATGAATTAGACTCGGCTTTGCTTAACCTACCAGGAAGGCAGATTTTCTGGTACACTTCTGCGCCTTGCAAAGCTAGAGGGCGAGGATAAAATTTGCTTATTTACAAGGAACGTTCTGAGTTTCAATCATTATGAAATGATGTGACTTGCAATAAATCTAAAATAGTGTCCCAGGGGCCGGCCCGTGGCTCACTCGGGAGAGTGCGGTGCTGATAACACCAAGGCCACGGGTTCGGATCCCATATAGGGATGGCCGGTTTGCTCACTGGCTGAGCGTGGTGCTGGCAACAGCAAGTCAAGGGTTAAGATCCCCTTACCGGTCATCTTTTAAAAAATAAATAAATAAATAAATAAAATAAAATAGTGTCCCAATATCTACCTCCCTCCCACTCTGATGCGAAAAGACTATCACAGAAGTAATTTTATTTTGCTAAACAGAAATGATGCAGTAACAGAATATTTTAAATTGTTTTAATTTTTTTCTATTAAAGTTAATCAGTTGGTATTTCAGCGTTCCCTAGAGGTTCAAAAAAAAAAGTCTTTTCTGCAATATTACCACCAACCGTCAGAAAATATCAAAGCTCCCATTGTGCAAATTTTAAAACATCCTACACTTGCTAAATATTTACTACATTTACTCATACATCTCATTCAAGCAGGCCTGGTCCAGAGCTGGGACCCTTCCCCTGTACTTATGGGTGCAGAGTCACTGGTACACACTGAGGAAAGAGACAGAAAGTAAAACAAGGAATGAGAGTCAGGGAGGGTGAGAAGAGCTCTCAGCTTGGTCCCCTCCAGTCTTTCACAAGCAACTAATTAGTGCCTATTATTTAACTCTTTGTCTGCCAGCAGTAAATAAAACAATCTTTTGTTTACTAGATTGTGAACTTCCCAATTCACCATGGGAGCTACCACAGAGCCTAGTACTGAGCCTTGCCCATGGCAGCGATTCAGAAGGTATCTGAAGGGTAAGCAATACATAAATACTATTCAAACAAAAGACTGCTGGCATTCATTGTTTGGAACCTTGCAGACAAATACACCACACCTCACAGCACTACTGTCCTTGGTCACCAGTAGTCACTAGCCCAGAGGTCAATGCCTGCTCGTCATCAGCACCGGGTGCTCAGTGGAGCCTCTGCTCTGACCCAACCACCACACTGCTCGACTCCCATGCAGACCTTTCCACTGCACCCTCCAGAACCTTCCATGTTCATCATTCCACGACGAATAACTACCTACCTGACACACTCAGCCTCTTTCTTCCCAGATGCTTCCTTTCCCTCCTGCCTGGAAATATCCCTCTCTTCTGAGAAAATGTTTCCCCTGGAGCCTCCTTCCCCGCTCTGCC